TGCCTGCGACGCGCTGATGAGATCCAAAAAGATCGAAATCGCGATCCGCGTCTGGCAGTTTCGACAGAATACAGACCACTTCCAATTATTTTATTCGATTATGGTAACGTGCCTATCACGTTGTAGTTAGCTACGCCGGGATTCGTTTCAGCAAGTAGATATCCATATATTTAGATGGACCATGTTGGAACATACATAATTCTAAAATGTAGCATCGTACTACAGATGGCATTTACCGCGCCATTTGTAGTATTTTCTAAAACGCGCTGTTAAGACAGCAGGTAAAAGTTGGTCTGTGTTCTGTCGGAGCTGCCTACGACGCGCTGATGAGATCCAAAAAGATCGAAATCGCGATCCGCGTCTGGCAGTTTCGACAGAATACAGACCACTTCAAATTATTTTATTCGAACATGAAGAGTATGGAAAAACTTATTAGGGAGGTATAACGTGGTTGTTCAGGGAAGCAACCGGCGATGACTAACATTCACGTTACGTACATGTGCTATAAATCTCATTTATTAAGAAAATTAAGTTCTACCCTTAAACTGGCGACAGTAACAGTTTCCTACGTTCTGGTACTTTAATATATCGTGATAATAACAGAAAACTTGCTGTAGGTATTGTGTTAAAGCTGATCTCAGAATGATTGGGTTATCTTTAGACCTATACATGTAACAGATCCCTTGCGTACATTACGTTCATGTTTTACATCCCGTAGGTAATTAGAAAGTTTGTTTAGTTCCACAATGCAGGTGTTATTTAGACGGTCACGTCCTTCATTTGAATTGTCTCAGACTGCAATGTTGTACTCATAAAGTACCGTTATGGTCTCTCAGGGGAAGATACTTTACGTCCTTCTTTGTATACATATATACAATGTAACCTTCCTTCTCTTTAATTAAGAAGAACTGAATGTAGGACGCGATCAATATTATACTCATTTCAGTTCAACTTGATTATTTGCACACTGAACCGTGTCCATAAAAACAAAATCGTCAATACGCCTTCGAAAAATGCTCCGACATTAATCAGTCCTTCCATAAAATATACCCAAAGTTAATACAGTAGAACCTTGACAACTTAAACCTCGATAACGTATTAACCTCTATAATTTCATAAAATTTTGTGTTCCCTTCCCCTCGGAGTCCAAAACCTCTACTACTTAAGATAAAAACCCTGTATAACTTAAACGAATAAATAATAATAAAATAAAAACACTTGGAGTTTAGAAAAAAAATTTATTATAACCACTATAATTATTTCGACACACTGTACCTTCCGCAATTGGTTAAGATATTTTCAAGACAATTTTAATTTTATAATTTCCATATTTTTATCATTTTGAAGATTAAAATCCGTCTGAAAATATTAATACGCCGAACCTTAACTAGGTCGAATATTGCGATTGTGAGGGACCCGGTCGCAGTCGTCTGATTCATGAAGGCATTAAGATGGCTGCTAGCGTCGTGCATAAAATTAATTCTCCTGTTGCGTTCCCCCAAACCCCGATCCGAATATCCCAATTTCCCAGGAGAACCGACGCTATTAGTACATAGCTTACGCTCTTAAATTATAAAACAAACAATAAGAGGCTTTCTCAACCTTCATCTCTTCAAAAAGCTTTAGACTTCAAATACAAAAAGCCTTTAAATGAAACACTTTTGGGTTTACTGTTTTGATTATGCCAAACAAAATGAATTCTTGTTTTCGTTTTTATAAAAATATACAGAGGAGGATGGAAAAAAAGGGCGGAAGAACTATTAGGGGAAGATCAATTTGTGTTTAGAAGAAATAGAGATACGCAAGAGGCCATTCTAGCTTTACGGGTAATAATAGAGAAAACGATAGAAAAAGGAAAGAGCGTGTACGTATAGGATTTGTAGATTTAGAAAAAGCTTTTGACAATGTTGAATGGGACAAGATGTTAAATATACTTAAAAATGTAGGGATAAATTACAGAGATAGAAGGGTGACACTTAATTAGAGCTGGAACAGTAACGTAGAGAAGTAAATATTACGAAGAGAGTCAGGCAGGGATTCGCACAAACAGTCAACTATAAGGATAGATATACAGAAGCAAAAGATTAATATGCTTAGATTTGCAGATAATATAGCAGTATTAGCATCTATCAAGGAGGAGTTAGAGATATNTTATAGTGGTTATAATAAATTATTTGTAAACTCCAAGTGTTTTTATTTTATTATTTTAAATATGGAGTTACATCACTTGAAAGCTTCACCGATTCAATTTTTAAACGAATAATTTGGGCATCGCACCTCAATAAGCAGTGAAGAGTGGTTTAAATCGGGAGAAAGTCTTCTATGTAAAAGAAGAATTGCTGAATTTCCTAATTTAGAAAAATACTTGTTTACAAGGTTTAGACAATATAGAAATATGTAAAAACATTAGTGTTAGCTAAGAAAAGCTGAAGAGTTTACTTACTCATTGTAAATCCATAATTTTAAAACTTAAACTTAAACCCTTAGTAAGTAAAAACCTCAATAACTCAAATTATTTTACGTTTCCCTTGGTCTTTATTTTATCGAAGTTCTACAGTAATGGTACTAACGATCATGTTTGACGCTTACGACAAAATTCTGCAACCGCGTACCTGTTTTTGGCTTAATTGTCCAAACAACAAGCAACATCACACAATAATGATGATGTCTCAAATTATTTTAGTTGAAATTACTCATCAAATCCTCCTGAAATATTTTGAAAGAATTTTTGTAGGGTTTTCGATACATTAGAGTGATTTGATTTCTTTGCTACTAGAAATAACCTCAAATTAATGAGGAAAAATTGTTGCTGTTGTCATGTCCTCGCCGAGAATCGAGCCTGGGTTTCTGATAGTGGTGGAGCAATGATGCGAAAAACCAGAGATTCAGGTTCGATTCCCGGCGAGGGCATGACAGTAGCAACAATTTTTGCTCATTAATTTGAGGTTATCTGCAGTGGAGCATGGAGCTCTACACAAATTGTAAACAGCAAACGTTTTTAAAAGGTGGAAGTCTAAAAATCAACGAACCCAGTAAACCCAAAACCAAGGTTTATGATATTCTGAACAACTTCTACCTAAATATGTTTGTTTTATTTCAATGTTAGCTGCCGTCTTTAAACCAATTTTTAGGGCGTCGATTTCAAAACCAATTTAGTGCTTTTTGCTAAAAGTCCCTGACAATTCTTTTATAGCGACTCGGTACTTTGATCTCAACAATAGTACATGGTAGAAAAGTAGAAATGAACCGTCGTTCTTAAGCACATATTCAACAAGGATTTACATAAAGGTTTCATTTCGGGGCGCTTTATACGTCTGTTTCGTTACTTTCCTGCATGCATATTACAATTTTATTCTTTTTTGAATTCATGCAATCGCGAAACGCATTTAAACAGTTCAAAAAGACTAGACATAAGGACTTTGTAATAAACGTAGCAAAGTGCAATGTTACTCAAATGGTTCAAAGGAATAAAAAAGACAAGAAGCGTTCTAAAGCAAAAGGCAAACATTAAACTCACTTGATTGGCATTGAATCATCGAACTGAACATGGCGCCCGATTTTGGTCAAATCAAGCAGTCTAGAACACAAAATATTATGAGGTCACTGCTCACTTAGTAAAGAGAAAATATACTGCACTAAATCGAAACTATGAGAGAAATTGTAATTAAAGTTCGATAAGGAGTTAAACAGTTAAAGAAGTCAGTCTTTGCAAGCGATTAGTAAATAACTATTTATACGAGTTACGAGATAGATCTTAATTCTAAATTTGACTTGATAAGGTAAAATATTAATTAAAACGTCAAAAAAAACATGCATTCTTCTTAAACAATTCCTAAGGAAGATGCTTTTGCAAGTTGAAGTATCTACTCTGAACTAAAAATGATTAAATTGAGAGTGTTGGTAGGAAAATACTTTTGAACAAAACTATGGGCCGATGTTACATTTATTAATTCTCAAATTTTTACCAACATTCTTGGCTTCATCAGGAAATCACTGCGAAAATATATAAATGAAAAGTTGAACTTCCATTTTCGTCAATTTTTCAACTTTTCATTTATTCTCGTAGTGATCTCCTGATGAGGGCAAGAATGTTGGTGAAAATTTGAAAATTAATAAATGTAACATCAGCCCATCGTTTTGTTCACAAGTATTTTTCTACCGACACCCTCAATTTCATCATCTTTATTTCAACCAGTAGGGTAGTTACTCAAGTTCAACTGTATTTCTACTCTGAACGTTTAGTGTTTGAACTAGTTATTTGTGTTTCATTACTTCAATTAAGTTACTTTTCGTACTATTTTGTTTACCTTGTCATACACCCGTTTTAGAAGCGGTCCGGTACATTCCCCACCTCATCTCATCATTTCTTCGAATCCTCAATTTTGAGGATTTATTTTTCTAACAATTAATGGGTACGATTAAACGGATAAAATTATATGTCCTTAGTTCTAATGCTAAACAAGTCAATTCAATTAAATATTCCGATTTATCTGCTTAATAATTCTGCCAACCATTACCGTACATCTTCGTATAGATTTGTATATTCCAATTGCGGGTTTAATGCCTCATTTCAACAACTTGTACTGTTCTGATCAATACATTGTAATCAGACAATACATTTGTCACAAATCAACTATTAATAAACATTCGGTTAATCCTAACCAGATGGGAAACTGAAAGCTGATAACTATTTTTTACAGTTTGAGATCGAGTACACGTGTAAATAAAGATAAAATGCAAAGTAAACAGATATTCTTTATACCATATGACATTACACGGAATTCTAAGGAAAATGAAGCAGTTTTTTCGATTTTATGTTCTGGAAGGAAGCACTCCACGAAAGCAGGGAAAAAATGAGGTAATTGGAATCGTCTAACAAAACAGTACAAAAAAAGAGATTGCCATGAAACAAAAGAAGACAAACTTTTTGTCTAACTTCTAAAATAAAAATAGATAAATGCATTAACATCAACTCCTAGACTAACCACTTTTGACTAATATAGAAGAATAAAGGAACTACGGGAATAGCTAGAAGCTTAAAAATATACGCTTAAGAATGTAAAAATTTCTTGACCAAAAATAGTAATTAGCAATTTTATGGGCTTTCTTTCTGTAACTTGTTGTTACCCCAAACCACAATAATAGAATTGGTAACACTATTTTTAGTAGCATTAATATTGAATCTAAATGCAATTCATCATCATCATCATAAGATCGTCAGTCTTAAGACTAACTGGACACGTACCTCCACTCTTTCCTTTCCTGAGCTAAACTTCGCATTTTTCTAAAACTAGAACAACCCGAATCCTTAACTATTTGCGAACAGTGATCTAACCTAGGTCTACCTCTACCCCTTCTATCTCCTGCTTCTGCCTCTAATACGTCTCTGACTAGACCTTCATGCCTCAGAAGGTGTCCTACTAACCTATCTCGCCTATTTCTTATTGACTTCCATAGAGTCCTCTGTTCTCCTATTCTTCCTAATGCCTTCTCATTTTTAATGTTCTCTATCCACGATATCCTCATCATTCGCCTGTAAAACCACATTTCGAATGCTACTAACCTTTCCTTTTCCGCCACGCCCACCGTACATGTTTCGCACCCATACAACGCCGCGTTCCAGACGTACACCTTTTAACAATCTTTTTCGAATTTCTAAATTAACCACTCGTGAGCATAGGCGATTCGACCCTGCGCAATCCTCTGTTTTATATCACTACTGCAGCTTTCATCATGTTTTATATGACTTCGTCTCCTATCTTTATATTCGCTCTTTTCCCATTTTTTCATACCAATATTATTATTTTACTTTTATGTATTTTTATACAATACAGTTTTGTCAATGCCGTTTCCATTTTATTTAAGGCTATCTCTAACTCCCTGCTAGATGCTAATACTGCTATATCATCAGCAAATGTAAGCACACAATAAAATTAATAAATGAAAATTAATGATGATAAAACAAATTAAGTTTTTTATATCTTTTTAAGTAAGGAAGATATTATTTCTACAATGAACACTTTTTAAAGTTTATAAAATCGGGTTTTACGATGTAATCAAATTATACGCGGACGAAAAGTCTCGGACAACAGCTAATGCTGTTATAAGAATACGAACATTGTTCATGTTCATTAGCGATTCCGTAATGATAAAAATATGAAGCAAAAGTGATACAGGAGTAGAATTCAAAAATTGAAACCCATCGGGACTGATCACCATCGAAAAAGTTCTAGATGCAACCTTCAACAGGAAAGGTNTAGAAATGAAGAGGTATTGGAAAGAATAGGAGAACAGAGGACTCTATGGAAGTCAATAAAAAATAGGCGATATAGGTTGGTAGGACACCTTCTCAGGCATGAAGGTCTAGTCAGAAACATATTAGATGCAGGAACAGGAGTTAAGAGGGGTAGAGGTAGCCCTACATTAGATTACTGTTCGCAAATAGTTAAGGATGTCGGATGTTCTAGTTTTATGAAAATGCGAAGATTAGCTCACGATAGAAAAGAGTGGAGGTGCGTGTCCAATTAGTCTTAAGACTGACGACCTTATGATGATGATCAGTTGATAAAAGAAAAAAAGTTGCGAAAATGTGTTCTCTTGCATCGCCATAATTCACCCTATCGAACATCTACCATTACAATAGCTGCAGTTGCTATGGAGGGCTTCGAATTAGTTGAGCATCCGCCATATACACTTTCCAGATTTGGCCCCTAGTACTGCTCCCAAAACATATAATCATCGCATAATAAACGATTTTCGTCAGATAATGATGTGATATGTGTGGTAAATCAGTAGTTTTCAAAGACAAGAATTTTTTTTCAGAGAGACGTTAGAAATGCCAAAACATCGCTGATAAAAAAGTGCTGACTGGCTGCGAAAGTGTGCAATTGCATGTTGTACACCGTACTTTTACGAAAATATTTATTGTATTTAGTAATTTACTAATTAAACGTGTAATTAGTTTTACCAACTTTTGCATAAGTAGAATCGGCACAAAAAGTCCACATTTATCTAATCTTTCGGGCTCTGAATTGATCCAAAAAGTGATAATTTTATTAAACTTCGTCAAGCATAACAATCACCCTTAAACACCCACCAGACGGCATCAAAGCCTCCGTTGATAGATGCGTATTAACGTATGCTTCGAAAGTGCCGATCTGCAAATATAAAAAAAATTGTGAAAAAATCGCTGTGATGACGATATTCGGCTCTTGGTGGACACTGTCTGTGTTTATCGTTTTCATTGTCATTGAAATCGTAAGTGTAAACAAAGAGAACAAAAACAGTGATAACTATAATCAAGTAAGCCACAAACTCATTTTTTTTCAGTTAGAAGTCCCTCGTAATAAAAAAAATTACCATTTTCTGTTAATAAAATAATCAGACATAAAAAGTTACTCGTTAAATAAAATTAATTGAAACACTACAAACATCAAGTGGTTGTAAAAATTGTCTTTACGCAATAAAACTAAAATTATTGTAATCTTTTTTGATTTAAACTAACATCCCGTTCTCCATTTTGTATTTCAGAATGCGTGGACTTCTCAAAAAGGCCCAAATAGTGAGTACGACAATATTTATTTATAAATAATTACGACTAAAATAATTCATTCTCCATACTTCATTTTCATTATCAACAAAACCACTGTATTTACTGCATCTCTAAAAATATTCATTTTTACTTTATAAAACCTTTCAATTTGAATTGTTTATGGAATACTATACCTTTATTAGAAATATATTCATTTTGTTAGCAATTTATACCTGTAATGTAATAATTACCTTCCTATCAAATTTCAAATTTCTTGCGCAACATTGTTTCACGCCGATAGAAACGAAGTACCTAAGTGTGATGTTCCTGCAATCTTCTCATTTTTACTTCCCTATTTTTTTGCTTGCTTCCAATATTGCTTTTGTTATAGAATTTTTCCTTAATAAAATATATATTAAATTTTATAC